GCTTCAACTTGCAGAGCTTACTTGAAGGGGTCTTTCTTGCTTCTATGCCGTATGAAGCTGTCTCTTCACCCCTTCCTACAGCAGATGTTTCCAAGAGCTGGAAGAGTCCGTCCCCTGTTTGCAGAAGTCCTTGTGCTTCCAGATATTTTGAACACAGTAATGAGAGCCATGTGAACAGGCTGAAGCCTCAGTTAAAACCTTTAACCTCTCCAGCTCTTGGCTAATAGGAATTTGTTTTGCTCCTGAAGTATTGGTGCCTTATGGGGGGGTAGCCTGTCACTGGAGGCCCCCAGAACTGATGGGACGTGTTTGCAAAAAGGGCCCTAAGCACCAGGACTGTGGTGGCTGTTAATGCGTCATGCATGGGCTTTACGAAAGCTAAAGGGAAAACAGAGATGTAGAGTTGGATAAGATGCGCATATAGCGGATGCTGTGTGTGACTTTGATTTATAAGTTGTTGTTCAGCCCAGAAAGCTGTGACCTACAGGAAGAGCATTTAAACAGAAAAGAATGAGCTGGCTCATGAACACAATAGGGTTATAAAGTTGGAAAGCCCATGTTGAAGAGATCCTGCTTACTGCTTGTTGTGTCTTGGAGCCTGGTCCCAGTGAGAGTCAGGGAGGGGGGAGCTGCTGTCACGGTCCTGTCGAGCAAGTGAGGTTTGCGTTGGACAGAAGAGCAGAGGCAGATCCTCCTGGACCAAGGAGGAAAGAGCTTTCTCCATCGCTGGCTTCCAGGTGAGCTGCTGAGTTAAATGCCTAATAGTGACATTCAGAGACTTCCTGTGGCTTCTTGGTCAGCATCACCTGATAAGGGCAAGTTTGGAGTAAGAAATACTCAGTCTGTGTTTTGCTGCGTTTGTTTCTCTTGTGTAACTCTATTCTCGGCTTCACATCCGAGACCTGTGCCTTCACTTTGCTGTTGGAGTTTTTTGTAACTTAGTGTTTAACTGGAGAGTTGAACTAGAGCACGAAGATTTTTTCTTCTCCATAAACAGCGCATCCAAATGGTACAGGCATAGACCAGCTCTTTAGGTGCCTGTAGGCTGGAGAAAGCTCAGGTCAGGAGGTCGGGCACTTGGGTGGCTTTTCCCTAAGCTGCAAGAGCTGTTTGGAGAGCGGGTAATTCCAGATGTCAGGTCTTGGAGAGCAGTGCTATCAGTTGATGCCTGTTTTGGGCTGTCCCAGGGCACTCATGGGATTGAAGACAAGTTGTGCATCACTACCTTCTGCCTTCTGAAGGGCTGGTGACTAGATACCTACTGGGAAGGATCAGAGCTTAGCCTGCTCAGGCTACTCTGGAGGTTGTCTGGCTGTCTGGTCAATGGGTCCATCAAACCTGAAGCCAAGAAGAATGGGTTTAGCTTGATCATAGTGACTCAGTGCCTGAAAAACGTAGTGCACAAAAGCCTGTTAGCTGCACTGTAGGAAAATTGGTGGCTTAGTTGTTTTATGGGGATAATGAAGGTCATGTAAAATACCAAGTTTCTACAGCTTGGCCATAATGAAGAAGGTGAACCTTCTGACAGTTCCTTGCTTAAATCCTATCTTTTTGAATCATTCACCTCATGCTAAAGAACAATAATGCTTCTGATTACAGGCTCCTGAGCAGAGCAGTGTAATTAGACTGTTTCCCTGGGATGGTGTAATTACTGTAGTTTGGCAGCCCTGCCTGTCAGACGAGCACTTAAAATGAACAGTGTAAAGTCCCACTAAAATTTTCGTGTGACATTGTGTTCCCCATAAAGCCAAAACTCCTTTTTTCTTTTTTTTCTAGTCCCAGTCAGTTTTTGAAGGTGTTTGCTCTTGCAGTGAGATACGGTGAGTCTAGACGTGGTTCTAAATCCTACTGTGTTGTTTGTTCAGCCTTGGGCAGCCTTCCTGCCTTTCTTTGCTTGAGCTTCACTGCTGAAGGGTTTGCTTATCCCAGCCATGTTGCAGAGCCATTTGTGAGACCTAATGTGACCTGTATCTTACTCGTTAACTGACAGCCCCAGTAGAGTGCTAGTGTGCTGAAACTCAGGCTCCAGGAGGACTAGAAAAACAGCTTTGATCTTTTGTGAATACAGATGCAGAGCCTCCCCCAGATTTCTGTGCTTCGAGTTGAATTAGGCTACTCTTCTTGGCATGGCATGTACCTGTCACAGATATGTCAGCGGCACAAGATCTGTGTGTTACGGCACTCTGCCGAGCATGAAACCAGGATGGAAGCTGTGTTTCTAATTTAAATTTTTTCTTATATCCATGAAAGGAGAGAGATACAGGTCACCGATGTTGGTGGGGATAAACCCCTGTAGCCATCTCTGGTTATTAAATGGAAAGACTCTTTAGGTTCACGTGGATGAAGCCCTGTTTCCTCAGCCCTCCCCCCTTTTTATTTAGTGTCTTTTGTAAAGATCAAAAGCTCTAAGCATCCTTACTGTCTTCTGTTTTTCAGTTTTAAGGTGAAATTGGTTCTTGGATGTAATGCCATTCCCCTAACAAAGCTCCTTTTGAGGTACTATCTTTTGCAAGGTTGAGAGTAATGCAAGCTTGAAAGTCAGGAATTTGCGCAAAAAAAAAAAATCAGTTAATGAAGAACATGTGAGGTTGAGGAAGTTTTTTTGGAGTAGGGACCAAATGCCAAGAGAAGGTAGCTCCGGGATGACTGTGTATCCCTTTCTTCCACAGAGCTGGGTGAGCTTTGCCTGGAGCACTGTGAACTCGGTTGCTGCTAACACTTTCAGTTGGGAACTGTATTTATCTTACTGCCCTTTCTGTACCCGTCACAGGCTGGGCCTCTTGAATGTGCCCCCTGTGCTGTGCATGCCTTGTTTAGCTGCTTCCTCAAGAGTTGCTCCAGCCTACTAAGCCTAGAGAACAGGTTGGAGGCGATTCTGCTTTTAAGTGGATCAAGTATGATCATGCCTTAATAGCTGCTCTGTGCCATAGAGATTTGTCAAGAGTGTTGACTCTGGAGTCTAATGAGAACCAAAATATTAATCCAGCTTAATGCAGCAGGTTTACCAGAAACTGTAGGTTCTTTTATACTGGCACTGAAACACTGGTGTTCTTTTCTTACCCTGACATCACACCTCTAGCAAAGCTTTGGAGTATCTTGGTTTGAGAACTTTTATGTTCTTTAGGCTTTCTAGGAGCTGAACCTGACCTGTCAGGCCCAATACTTCTGAAAGAGCTGTAAGCTGGTGCTGAGCTGCAGCAGTGGCTGAGGCTGAACAAATTTCACAGTTCATTTCAGATAAGCACTCGGGTTTGAGTTGTCTTTGCAGCTGCTTAGACTGTCACTGTCAGCCCTGTCTGGTAGCAAACAAATATTTCTTCCTGGGTGTGCTTTAGGCTTTCCTGGTTGGTGGCACCCAGAATTTTCAGCCTAAGGTTTGGCTGGGGCGTCCAGGTAGCTTTCATTGAACTGATGTGTGGGACCAAGTCCCATGCACACCTCCCCATGTTACCAAGAGCTGAGGATGGCTGAACATCCGTGGTACAAGACCTGCTGGATCTTATTTTGCAAGTTATTTCCTCAATCTCTTGTGTGGTTTCTTTTAGGGCTTTACTTAACCCTCCCCCTTTCAGAGTGTTTTAATGAAGTCCGTATGTCCTTTCATTCCCCTGGGGCTTAGGCTGAAAGCCCAAAGTTTGGGAGAGGAGAAGGTGGAGTTGCTGCAAACTTGTTCACTTAGGTTGTCTTTATTCCCCTATGGATGCCAGCAACGTTTGGCTGGTCCTGGCTATGCTGGAGAGAGTGAGTGGGATGGTGAATTTCCAGCATGACCTGCTGTTTCCCTTCTCCCAGTGCAGTGAAGCTTTGCTGGACATATGGCTTTGACATGACAGGCTGATGCCGGAATCGAAGCGTACTTTATTGCAGGTTGTACTGAGTTCAGTGCACGGCGTGGCAGCCTGGGGAAGGCTGTGTGTGCAGGGGTCTGTAGAGATGCTTCCTGTTTATAGATATGCTGTTTGTATTGAACATACCCCAGAGGTCTGCTCGCTGCAGGGTTCTGCTCCAGCAAAGGGCACAGCAGCAGCTGGGAAAAGGGAGTAGTTAGCAAGGTCAGCTGTGTGGTCCCACAGGAGCTATTAATGCCCTTGGTGGGACTCTGTGCTTGGACTGTTTCCCTGTATCCAAACATGTGGAGTTCTCGCAGTGCCAGGTACTCAAACATCAGTGCCTCACCCATTTATTTCTTTGGTTTGGTTTTTTTTTTTCTTTCTAATTTTTGGATGAAAAGATGACTTTGGCATCTGTCGCTTAAGGATCAAAAGGAGACCACTTACCACCACTCCTGTCTTTTTGGGCTTACTCACATTAGTGCTGCCACACAAACCACCTCTCAGTGCTGTGACAGGATGGGGGGTAAGTTGGCAATGTAAAGGGTGATAAAGACCAGGGGTCAGTTCTTTCTTGTGTGTAAGACCTGCAGAAGCAGGGCAGTGTATGGGGATTGGTTTCCTGCCGAGGAAGATGTGTAAGTAACTGAGTCGCTCAGGTTTTACGTGGTGTAAACCTACGACCTAAGTCATGGTCAGAGATGTTTCCTTTTTTTGTAAATGCGCTTTCCTGGTGTTTTGCTTGACTCTTAAGATTTATTCTCATACTAAAACCTCTTTTTCCCTTGATTCACAGGCTCACCTTTACACAAGCAGGGTACCACCTCCACTGCCAGCACCGAGAAGTCGGGTTCAAAGGTTGCCGAGGTGGGCGATGATTTCCTGGGAGACTTTGTGGTGGGCGAACGTGTCTGGGTAAATGGAGTGAAGCCAGGTGTGATCCAGTATCTTGGAGAGACGCAATTTGCTCCAGGCCAGTGGGCAGGGGTCGTTCTGGATGACCCGGTGGGTAAGAATGACGGCTCCGTCGGTGGAGTACGTTACTTTGAATGCCAGCCGCTCCAGGGGATTTTTACACGGCCGTCCAAGCTGACACGGCAGCCAGTGGCCGAGGGCTCGGGGAGCGACGCCCCCTCTGTGGACTCCCTGACAGCTCAGAACTTGTCCCTGCACTCGGGGACGCCCCCGCCACCGCTCTCCACTCGCGTCATCCCCCTGCGGGAGAACGTCCTGAACAGCGCCATGAAGACTGGCAACGAGTCTGGATCTAACCTCTCGGACAGTGGGTCTGTGAAAAAAGGGGAGAAGGACTTACGGCTTGGAGATCGCGTGCTGGTGAGTTGACCGCGGGGTCCCCCTAGAAAAGCCAAGGACAAGAATTTGTCCCCTCCTAATGGCTCCTGGTTAGGCTCAGGACAAGGCAAAAGGGAGGGCAGAGTCGGTGGTGAGGTGTGGGATGGAGCATGGTCTTGGACCATCGCTGACGGGCAGCAATGACAGGTTGCAGAGGGTTAGTCTTCATGCACCCTGGGCAATCTGGCTCCTATTTAATGTTAGCTATGTAGCATTTCCTTTTTGGGGCACCTGGTTCCAATACCAATAGAGGTGGTACAGAAGTGTAGACAGACTTGCCATATGGTTAATAATGGCTTTAGTAGAACCTGGCTCTGCAGCTGATGTGAATCAGCAGAAGCAGGTGCAAGGAGGTGTCAGAGGCAGTCTCAGAGTCCTTCGTGGTCTTGGAGAGTGGGTTTTCCTGCTGGCAATAGCAGCAAGCCTGGGCAGGCTGCAGCTGAAGCTGATGGAGTCGATTCCATTGCTTTGTGCACTCCTCAGGGACCCTGGGCAGCTGGGCCATGCTATAGAGCAGCCCTGGGTGGTCAGGGGGCACCGAGTGGCTGTGATGGGCCACGTGTGTCTTCAGAGTCAGTGTCACATGGCACAATCGGCTCTGAGGGTCTTGGAATCTGTTGTGTCCAAATGTCGGGTGCCTCTGGCATTACAAGTATACTTTCAAAGCTAGCAATGCACTTGCACACTAAAATACCGTGGGTTTTCCAGTAGTTATCATAAAATTGTTTATATTTTATTTAAATTGTTTTATGTTCAGAGGAGGAAAAGTGAAGGTGGGTTCTGCTTGTGCCCACTGCATATGACACTTAAATATAGTGTGAACATGTGGGCTTGTAGACCAAGCTGTAGAGGTGAAAGATTTATATTTTCACGTTTTCCCCAAAATGTGCATTGCATTCTGTACCGCAGCAGGAGCTGACAGCTGCTCAAGGGTTGGGCACTTGTCTGCTGTCTCCCTGGCTTCGGCAGTCTGCCCATCTTCCCTCTCCATCCTTCCTGTCAGCAAAGCTGCTGCTGGCCCCAGGGGCAGGGGAAGGTGGCAGAGACATTCTCTGTACCCATGCACTGATGCTTCATGTTGGTGTGTTAAAGCAGCCACACGTGGAGAAAAATGAACCTGGGGAACCTGTCCTTCTTTGATCAGTTTGCTCCATTTTCTCCTTTACCTGCTGTGGGGAGTGGGGAGAGTGTTTGGGTGAGAACTTCCCATTTTAGGAGCAGCAGTCGTAGAAGGTGAACTGCAAAATAGAATAATCTATGGTAAACTTGGCTCTCTTCTTTCTGAACCAGCCGGGCAATGGAGTAATGTTCTCCAGACTTAATTCTCCAAGCCCTCTCTTCTCTTGACTCACGGAGACAGGGTCTGTCCGCTTACCGCAGCGGGGCCCACACAGATTGAGGTTTTGGCATACCCATGCAGTACAAACTGTTAGCATCTCTCCCCTTGGCTTCTGTTGAGTTGGGTTTTTTTGGGTTTTTGGGGGTGTGTGTTTTGCTTCTTTTTAATGGAGGTGTATTCTTAAAACCCCTACCTCCCTGCCTGCTAATTTATCCACCCCAGGTGTTACAAGATAGAATTTACCCTGTGATTTGTTATTGCTGTGAATGGCTCCAAGGGAGTGAATCTGGAATGAGCTCAGCATCTCTCTGGCTCTA